TTTTGATGACATGGCAAATTACGTGATATTTTTTATATTTTTTTAATGATGTAACAAATTAAATTAAATTTTAATGTTTATATGAATAAAAAATAATATCAAATCAAATTTCATTAATTAATCATCATTAAACTATAATTATTTATATTAATAAAAATTGAGATTCTAAATTAATTTATAATTAAATCACAATTTTCTCATCACATTTTCTAATCAAATTTTCTTTAACAGACATTATAGTTTTTTCGGTAACCAAATAGATTCAAAGCATTTTCTTAGCATCCAAACACCCAAACTATACAATTTTCTAGCCAAACAAATGAAAACCCACTAAGAATTGCTTCTTCGCCCATCGGTCAGTGCTTCTGTTCTTTCCATTTTGAACATTGAAATCATTTAGACAATACTTAGGAAATACGAAGAAAAAGATCCCAAAAATCCCTCACAACTTGCAATTTGCATAATCTCTTCACAAACAAACATATAACAAAAAAAAAAAAAAAGTGGAGCTGGGTTCATCGAACCCAACAGATCTGGGTTTGGTGAGATCTGGGTTTGGTGGAACCTAGGTTGGGTTCAATGGAACCCAGCAGATGGGTTCCATTGAACCTGCGCTAGGTTCCCTTGAACCCAAATCAGCTGGGTTTGAGGGAACCCAGCAACAGAGGAAGAAGAGGAAGAAAGAAGAGGAAGAAAGAAAAAGAAAAAAGAAAGGAAGAGATGGATCAAATTTTTTTTTATTAAAAAAATAAATGCTAATCAAATTTGATTTATGAACTGATGTTGACGTGTCATCAAAAAAAATTTCAGATCAACACTTTTTTAAGTTGTTTTCACCATGTTATCAAAAAATATATAAAAAATGTCACATGGTGGAGTTAACGATGTAAATTGACAAAGGACTAACAATATGCATTTTTTAAAGTTGAGGGATAAAAAAAGTGCAAAACATTATTGAGGGACCAAAAATGTGTAACTCATTAAAGTTGAGGGATCAGATTTAACATTTAACCAACTTTTAACCGTATTTAAAAGAAAGAAAGAAAGAAAAAACCAAATATCTTGATTTGTGGACTGAATTTGTACCGATCAAGTCAGCATGGATCTTAGTCACCATTTTTGTTTCACACCCCACCTTACCTGACACCATACCTGTTTCTGTGCGCTCTCATTAGTCATTTTTATCTTGATGGGGACATTTTGAGTCACACAAACAGGCAGCTTT